AGGAAATGATCAAATGAAGAAGGATTCAAGAAGGTCAGCTTTTCTTTACCTTACTTATGATTAATTAAGGAACAGAAAAAAAAAAACTTTTTCTGATCACTAGAGATCTCTGACGATGTCCGATGACATCTAGTCAATCCTTGATCAAGGGTCCCGCTAGAGGTGGCCAATCTCACCATCCAACCCATCTCAAGTGTAAAAGGTTCCAGCTCCCAGGAATGTGAAAGTTTGTTTTAAGTCCAGACCCTCTTAAAGAGAGTATAGGAATGGTTCTCTCTATTAGTATTAGAAAATTTATACATATTGTATACTTACAGATTTTGTTGAGGACTAAGATTTTAGAGTACGATTCTCTAAAAATGTTGAAGGTTTTCAATGGTGAGTAGATTTCTTTTCATTGGTTATTTTAAACTATTATATTTGTCTTAATTAATAATCTTATTTTTGTATAGAGAAATTGTTGGATTAGACATGTTAATTCTATTCACTTATAGTAATTGTTAAAAGAAATTGAATCGTGATAGCTATTTATCTTTTACAAGATAAATATTGTTTAGTATATAAAATTATGAAAAATATGTCATCAAATATATTTTAATTTACTGTTCAAATGCATTTATTGAAGAGTTTGTATTTGAAAAAAAAATATTTATCGGTTTTAGATTCATGAATATCCTATTTTCAAGAAATTGACATGAGAAAATTTTACAAAAATGTATCAGCATTTATATTGTTTTTTAGTACAAGTGGAAATTGCAAGTGATAATTTAAGCAAAAGGATGTGTTTTTAAATGTTAAAAATCCTACGAAGTCCACTATGAAGTGAAGTGATTTGTTTAAGCTTACCATATGATATCAAAGGTATCGACAGTGATAAAGTGGTCTTTTTGAAGAAAAAAAAAGTAGCCTTTGGGTAACCTATGATAATGCTAGGCACATTCTGCCTTCAGGTTAACATATAGTGATCAGTATGCATTCTTATGCTACTGGGCTATAATTTTCATATCCTCATTATGACAACTAAAGAAGTTCTACAAGCGTAAATCTAGATCGACATTTACTGTTAGTACTCAATTTGTATTGTTTTCCCCCTAATAAGAAAATTTTCTTGTGGAGAGGAACAGAGACTCGTGCAGTAAAACCCTTAGAAAGAACTCCCCAAAAAAGCTTGGACCTAAAGAACAATTCTTTTACACCCCTCACCATAACTTTGCACCTCATCAAAAAAAATTCTTCCTTCTTTACCCTTTTTTATCCTCATCTCCTTTTTCTTCTCAACTCATTCTTCTCCTTTTTGTCTTCTAAGCTCCCCTCAGTTTCCATTTTTTGTATGAGAATAGAATTATGAGTGGATATATAAGGTAGGTTTTTATTTTGTTATATAATAATCTTTTATTGATCTCCTTTTGTATTTTCTTATTCAATTTATTTTCAAAAGTTCTATTTTCATATTGGCATGGTAACTAGTAGCTATGACAATCCTTTTTTTGTTTTTATTTTTTTTATTTTCTTGCAAATTTCCTTAGATCCTATATGAGTAAACAGTGACATTTAGCTCATAAATGTTAAAATATTTTTTTGTGAGCGTCAATTAAATGTCACCTTTATATGTTATTTATATGGTTTACCTATTAACTTACATTTGTTTTTCATTTGTGATTTTAATCTATTAAATTAAATGACATATTTGACTGATGTTTGTAACATCAAGATATTATATGTTATATATGTTTGTTATTTTTCACATTTAGTTAATAAATGTCATATTTATTTCTTATTGTGTCAATCTTAATATCTAAATGTAGCATTTAACAAATAAATCACAAATATGCTTGGTAAGAGATAAAAATGACAAATAATTAATTTTATACGTGAATTAGAAGTTAGATGAAAACGATCTAGAGTACGAAAATTGGACAGTAATGTAAAGCTTTTTTATATCAGGTTGTATATACTCTCACACCCATGTTTGAAACAAAATACCAAAACATTTATTTATTATGGTTGTAATATAATCACCATGCCCAAGTTGGATTCCATATCTGACAGATATATCAAAAGTAACAACTTCAATGCACAATAACAGTAACAGTTTGAGTAGACACGTATTAACAATAACACTTGAAAAATGCTAAAAGGACCCAAAAATAGGACAGGTAGTGGGACAGGTGAGGTGTCAACCCCAACTTGCATAATGAGCTAGTCATGACCAACTCACTATGCAAGGTGAGATGTCAAGGTTGACACCTCACACCTTGACACCTCACCTGTCCCCCTACATGTCCCATCTTTTCCCTGTAACAACACTCATAGCACTTTTAAGTACAAAATAACATATAACATCTATAAGTAAAAACTTTTGGGGTCGTCCTCATCTACCTTTCTTTGGTTCTTCATTTCACAGCCTCCCCATATAAATCGAGTAAGTAGTTTTGCCCTTAAAATTTTGACATTTTTTTAACAAGCTTCGAGATCCATTATCTTCTATTCATAAATAAATAATAACTATCACAGCTACATATTTATCACATTTAATTATTAAACATCACAGATAATGATGATAGATTATAATGATGACAGATTATAGATATACAACAAGATATCACAAATAACGAATAATTGTCTCATAAAATATAGATTCATCACATTTAACTATTGAATATCATACATAATGTCGATAGATCACAGATTAACAATGATATATCACAAATAACAAATAACTATCTCACAAAATACAGATTCATCACATTTAACTATTAAACATCACAAATAATGTCGATAGATCATAGATTAACAACGATATATCACAAATAATGAATAACTGTCTCACAAACTAATGTCGATAGATCACAGATTAACAATGATATATCACAAATAATGAAACCATCTCACAAAATAAAGATCTATAATATTTAATTATTAAATATCACAGATAATGTTGGTATATCACATATAATGGACAAATATCGCAAGAAATGCCCCATGATATTAAAAAAGAACCACTTGGATACACTTGACACCCGTGTAGTTCTATTGCTGGGGATAGACCCCTGCGTGAAAATCTATTGTCGCGGATAGAACTACAAAGGTTTTGAGTGTATCCAAGTTGTTCTTTCTGAATATCATGGGGGCATTTCTTGCTATATCTTTCCATTATCCATGATATACCAAGATTATCTATGATATTTAATAATTAAATATTATATATTTTTATTTTGTAAATGAAATATTTGTCCAAAGTTGAGCTTCACAAAAGGTTTGAAACACCAGAAGGGGAAAGGGGTAGTTTGGTGATTGCAGATGTTCAGTTAGGAGTTAACCAAATCATGATTAGATTTTTTTTAATTGAAATACAAACAAAGGTATCATTTTGCAAGATCCTATAGGATTTCAGGGACTAAAAATATGCAATATTTAAAATTTGAGAGACTGACATGCAATTATCTTAGGGTGTGTTTGATAATCAACGTGTTTTTTTGTTGTGTTTTTGTAAAAAACATCATGCCATGGTGTTTCTTTTTCAAATGTATTTTAAAAACACCATTTTGGTCAAACTAGTTTGACCATTTATATAGCGGCAGTGGGCGGGTGGCGGCAGTCGGGTGACGGGTGGCCGGCCGATCGGGCCGACGCCGCGACGGACTGAATGACGATCTGTCGCTATCGGCGGCGTAGGGCACGGCGAGTGGCCGACGGCACCGCCGACGGACGGGCGTAGCGGGACCGACGGTGGGCCGGCGGGCGGCGGCGACGGCGGCGGGTTGGCCGGTGGTCTGCCGACTCGGGCAGACGACGGCGGGGTCTGGTGGTGCGGTGGTAGGTGGTAGTGGCGGCGCCGCCGGTGGGGGTGCGGCCGGTGTCCGGCGACGGCTCTGCGACAGGCGGGCCGACGTGTGACCGACGGGTGGCGACGTAGGCCGGCGGGACGATGGCACCCGAGGCTGACCGGGCAGTGGCGATGGCGGCCAACAGGACGGCGGCGGCGGGACGGGAGCGGCAACGGTGGCGTTGGTGGGACGGGTGGCGACTGGCGCGGCGTTGCGGCGCAGCCAAGGCGGGCGCAGCCGGACGACGGGCGGCCGGGGTTCGCGGGGATGGCGGCGACGCGGTGGTGGCCGGACGCAACGGCAGCGGCCTGCAGCGACGGGCGAGCAGGCCTGCGGCGGCTTAGATGAAAAAACGGAATCTTAAAATACATTTTTGGTGTTTTGAGAAAAATGATAATTTTTGGATTTTGTAAAGGAACAAGTCAAAAAAACGTCGTGGTTGCCAAACGCTTTTCTTTGTTTTTGCTAAAAAAAAAGAAACGACAAAAACGCCACGGTTGTCAAACGCTCCCTAAAGATTTAGGGGACTAATATCTAAAAAGAACCTTTTAAATAAGGAGGTTACTAGACCCTATATTGAAATTGCTATGAAGTCCCTCATATTCTTGTAAGTGGTTTCGAAAATAGTCCCTTAAAATCACTGATATTTCTATTAGTCCCCAACTCTTGTAAGTTCTAAGTTGTTTCAAAATGCAAGATATAAGACTTGGAGGACCTGATAGCAATTTCGATAAGTTACTCATTTCAAAATTTTAAAGATTTGGGTTTATGTCAATGACAGATTGTCATAGTACAAACTGCAAACGTTGTCAAATCTATATTAGACCCAAAATATTCATATTGCTAACTTAGACCCCAAAATCTTCATATTTATTTGAAACGAAGTGTTATTAAATAAAAACATGAGAATTTGATTAGTGATATGGAAATCTAAGTATCTCTGGTCTCTAATCTGCTTCCAAGAAACACAGATAATGAAAATTAAACCAAAAAAATAAAAAAAGAACTCAGTCATCAAAGTGAAATGGGATTCAAACTTTCCAGTATCCAAGTGTTAAAAGATGCTCGGGTATCAAAGTGAAAAAGAGTAAAGTTTGGGGGATCAAAGTAAAATTAAGTCCATCCAAAACATGACCTGCGTCAGGAAAGTAGAGCAAGGTACAAGGGGCTCAATAGCAACAGAAGATTGAAAACCACTACAATTATTGAATAAATGATTCTTTCCGAGAATTACAATGTCAATAAGAAGCTAATCAATTTAAAGCTTTCAATAATAGACAATTTTTTGCTCGAAGAGAGGTAAATAATCGATAGATGCAGGTCGAGGATATGGAGAAAATAAGACTCACTCGACAAACACCTGAATCCTATCTCCCATTGTGCCATTGAAATCTAGAAGCACTTTCCCTTTTTCAGCACCATCAACCACTTCAGCAGATGCCTCCTCTAACTTCTCAATTATATTTACACCCCCTAAACCTGTTGAAGAGAAGACAAAAATGTAGGCATAGTTGAGCTCAAGTAACAATTTTACATAATACATTTTTCAGTTGTTATTAAAATGTATACCTGGAATTACATTCGCCATTCCTTCCAAGAACCCAGCCTGAAACAGTACATTTAAACCGTAAGGATGAAAGAGGGGCAGTTTAGCAAGATGATAACATGCTGGGATTTATGATATTAGTCCCTTATATCTTTTATATTTTGAGATAGTCCGTCAATTCATTGAAATCGATATTAGGGCCTTTAATTCTTAAATTATTTTGAAATTAACCGTACATTTAAACCGTAAGGATGAAAGAGGGGCAGTTTAGCAAGATGATAACATGCTGGGATTTATGATATTAGTCCCTTATATCTTTTATATTTTGAGATAGTCCGTCAATTCATTGAAATCGATATTAGGGCCTTTAATTCTTAAATTATTTTGAAATTAACCATAAAGTAAAAAACTCCAAAAAAAGTCAAAGAGTTGAAGCGGCAATGATAGGGATTAATTTGAAACAATTTATGAGAATTGGGGGCCCTAATAGCATCTTCAATGATTTGAGGAAAAATAACTTAAGAATTAGGCGACCTAATGGCAATTTCAATGATTTGAGGGACTAACATCAAAATATGAAAGATTGAAGGGTACTATAGAAAGAAGCATAAAATGCTTGCATTTTAAATGCAGGAAAATGCATATGCATATATGATATGTTTACCCCCTGAATCCTAAACCCACACCATAGTTTGAGGTGGATAACAAACAGCAACTCCATAGTCTGAATCCTAAACCCACACCACAGTGTGAGGCGGATGACAACAGCGACACATGCACCAACAAGTGTGAAGCCTGCTATGCACTTCTATACCAGAAAACAATACTTCAAGGAAAATAACTCCATTGATATTCTGAATTTCCAGAGCAATAAAAACTAAGATTGTAGCTAGACAAGCCACAATGTGGACTCTTTTTCATACCAAAAGCGGATCACAACTAAAGTTCACATTTGGACTAAGAGCAAAAGACTTGATGCCAGATTCCTAGGAAGAAAAGCTTTGGCTAGAAGGGCTCATATTCAAGCCAAGGAGGTTAGCTGGAAGTAGAAAGTCTGATGCAATTGATTGCACGATAGTATAATGCTAGATTACCAGTAAAGAAAACTAGTGCACATAGACTCCTGAGTTAATGTCGAGAAGGTCAGCTAGAAAGTAAATTAACGTAATTACATAATGCCAACATTAGGAGGTTTCAGTCAGCAATTGAATTGTCTCTGACACTCCTCTTATGGTCGCACCCATGTCTTAAAAACAACAATAACAACCACCACCACCACCACAAGAGTGCCTTTATCCAAAAAAATTCTTAGTTGCTTCCAGCCAAGTTCTTTTAGGTCTACATCAGTACATCTAGATCTCGTTGCCCCATTAACTATAATCTTATCACTTTTTCTAACTAGCGCATTAAGAGGTCTTTGTTGTACATGACCATAACATCTTGGTCAATTCTCCCTCATTTTCACCTCAATAGGAGCAATCTCTAATTTGTTACGGATGCACTCATTTCATATCTTTTAGTGTATACCCTCAAGACTATCATAACATTCTCATTGGTATGGTAGCACCTTGTCTTAAAAAGGATAATAAAAATCTACTGAACTATTAAATTTCTATAAAGTTGTTTAAATGGTTTCTCCTGAGATATGAGAGACTATTATTAAATCAATTCACATGTATAACATTTGAAAGGGTTTCTCGCATGTACCAAAAAATTTGTGTTAGCTAGGTGACTAATATGGTTCTGAACTTCTGATAAAATAAGAAATGTACTAGTCTGTGCTTTTATTTTCCATCATGAAGGGATAAAAAACTTACAGGAACTCTGACATCAAGCTTCTCTAATCCATCTTTTCCAGTGATTTTTAGTCTCAACGTCCGAGACCATATCCCAGATGTACGACTTCTTGAATCATTTGAGCTGAAATTTTCATATCCATAAGGAGTTAGAACTTCAACAATAGGGTCACGTTTATGTTCAGCGTCATTGTTTCTTTCTATCCTTGGGTTATAAGTGCTGCTGTCAGCCAAAGAGTAACCTGTATCTAAAAAATATGAGGGGTTAGTAACGTGAAAAAAAATCTCCACAGAAAAGCAGAAAATCTGATGCTCACCTTTCCTGGGAGATGGTTGAACAGCATTTATACTATATCGCTTTTCTTCTTCATAGTAGTCGTTCAAAAATAATAATAATAATAATAAATAATAATAATAAATAAATAAAATAAAGTAAAAAACTCCAAAAAAAGTCAAAGAGTTGAAGCGGCAATGATAGGGATTAATTTGAAACAATTTATGAGAATTGGGGGCCCTAATAGCATCTTCAATGATTTGAGGAAAAACACACCCAAAATAATAATAATAATAATAAATAATAATAATAAATAAATAAAATAAAGTAAAAAACTCCAAAAAAAGTCAAAGAGTTGAAGCGGCAATGATAGGGATTAATTTGAAACAATTTATGAGAATTGGGGGCCCTAATAGCATCTTCAATGATTTGAGGAAAAATAACTTAAGAATTAGGCGACCTAATGGCAATTTCAATGATTTGAGGGACTAACATCAAAATATGAAAGATTGAAGGGTACTATAGAAAGAAGCATAAAATGCTTGCATTTTAAATGCAGGAAAATGCATATGCATATATGATATGTTTACCCCCTGAATCCTAAACCCACACCATAGTTTGAGGTGGATAACAAACAGCAACTCCATAGTCTGAATCCTAAACCCACACCACAGTGTGAGGCGGATGACAACAGCGACACATGCACCAACAAGTGTGAAGCCTGCTATGCACTTCTATACCAGAAAACAATACTTCAAGGAAAATAACTCCATTGATATTCTGAATTTCCAGAGCAATAAAAACTAAGATTGTAGCTAGACAAGCCACAATGTGGACTCTTTTTCATACCAAAAGCGGATCACAACTAAAGTTCACATTTGGACTAAGAGCAAAAGACTTGATGCCAGATTCCTAGGAAGAAAAGCTTTGGCTAGAAGGGCTCATATTCAAGCCAAGGAGGTTAGCTGGAAGTAGAAAGTCTGATGCAATTGATTGCACGATAGTATAATGCTAGATTACCAGTAAAGAAAACTAGTGCACATAGACTCCTGAGTTAATGTCGAGAAGGTCAGCTAGAAAGTAAATTAACGTAATTACATAATGCCAACATTAGGAGGTTTCAGTCAGCAATTGAATTGTCTCTGACACTCCTCTTATGGTCGCACCCATGTCTTAAAAACAACAATAACAACCACCACCACCACCACAAGAGTGCCTTTATCCAAAAAAATTCTTAGTTGCTTCCAGCCAAGTTCTTTTAGGTCTACATCAGTACATCTAGATCTCGTTGCCCCATTAACTATAATCTTATCACTTTTTCTAACTAGCGCATTAAGAGGTCTTTGTTGTACATGACCATAACATCTTGGTCAATTCTCCCTCATTTTCACCTCAATAGGAGCAATCTCTAATTTGTTACGGATGCACTCATTTCATATCTTTTAGTGTATACCCTCAAGACTATCATAACATTCTCATTGGTATGGTAGCACCTTGTCTTAAAAAGGATAATAAAAATCTACTGAACTATTAAATTTCTATAAAGTTGTTTAAATGGTTTCTCCTGAGATATGAGAGACTATTATTAAATCAATTCACATGTATAACATTTGAAAGGGTTTCTCGCATGTACCAAAAAATTTGTGTTAGCTAGGTGACTAATATGGTTCTGAACTTCTGATAAAATAAGAAATGTACTAGTCTGTGCTTTTATTTTCCATCATGAAGGGATAAAAAACTTACAGGAACTCTGACATCAAGCTTCTCTAATCCATCTTTTCCAGTGATTTTTAGTCTCAACGTCCGAGACCATATCCCAGATGTACGACTTCTTGAATCATTTGAGCTGAAATTTTCATATCCATAAGGAGTTAGAACTTCAACAATAGGGTCACGTTTATGTTCAGCGTCATTGTTTCTTTCTATCCTTGGGTTATAAGTGCTGCTGTCAGCCAAAGAGTAACCTGTATCTAAAAAATATGAGGGGTTAGTAACGTGAAAAAAAATCTCCACAGAAAAGCAGAAAATCTGATGCTCACCTTTCCTGGGAGATGGTTGAACAGCATTTATACTATATCGCTTTTCTTCTTCATAGTAGTCGTTGAAGCCCAAGGTGTCCTTTATTTCATCAAATGATGGCAAGCTCCCTGGTGGAGGGATGCGACCTCCTTTTATGGCAGTAAGTGCGTCCTGAATTAATAATAAAATATTATTTCAAAACAAGCATTTAAAGGTCTAAAGAGAGACTACAAACTAGACCATCCTTGCCCTCAGTACTACAAAAATAGATAGCAGAAAAAGAATATATATTTGAGGTGAGAACCATCACTTATATCTGAACAAAATCATATACAATGCATTATAAGCCAAGAAGTATATGCTCTTCATAACTAGGCATTACAAGCAATTACAAATTATTAGAGAAATACTTCTATGTTTTTAGTTACATTTTTATCAGAGGTCATACTTTGGTCAGGAAATGAGATCTAGAAAAGAAAAAAAGAAATCTACCATCAGAAGTTAGACTAGAATTTTAGCAAGGAACGATATTTTCTGCATAAGTAGTACTAAATCCATATTCATAATGTTTAGAAGCATCAGTCAACTGACTAGACTAAATCTAGACAGGAAGAGATTAAAGATAAAACAGTATAAAGCAATGGTTTCCACCACAATGAGCATCGGCCAACATGATCCATCTAGATAAAATTTAAGTTGTTTTGTTCCAGATATATTTATGACCATGTGTTTGAACCTAAACTATTGATGATATCCTACCCACTGTTGCATAAAATGATGAATGCATGCCCATCCGTGTAAATGATGAGCTGTGTCTCTAAGATGCATCTTTTACTTGTATTAGATCAGAACTTTACATCATTCTATATAACATCCCCTTAGTCTATCCTGCATCATTTTCCTTACTGGAGCTTCTATCAATATTTTTACAAAGGCAAAAGAAACTATAAGATATAGGCCTTGTCCCCTCAAAGTTTTGAGGCATTAGTTGGTTAGTATTTTAAATTACAGTTTAGGTAGGAAAAGTGGTAAGATTTTTGTTTAGAGGTTGGAAACAATATAAAGCACATGAATCCATGAATAGTAATGGTTGAAGAATGATCTTCATAAAAGTAATAGCCATGTATTACAGAAACAGAAAACTAGTAGTAAAAAAACTCACCCATCATGTATGAAACCTTGATATTTCTAGCCATTTCATTATCAGGATGACTCGGTAATATAATATCATTTCATATGTGTAAGTCAAAAGTACGCACCTCCATTGCTCGAATTGATACCCCAATCAAGGAAAGCGGGTAGGCTATAAGTTTGAATCCTATCTCCTCTAGTTCAATAGGATTTAATATGGGAGTTTTCCCCCCACCTTCAAGCATGTTAGCCTACAGTAAAATAAATTACAATTAGATTATGTAACACACCTAAGAATCAGATATTATTGGAAATAAAAAAAAACTACTGCATTCTTATATCTAAAACTTCCAGAAACATATAGGTGACAAAGGCAGATAATGCTGCAAACAGAAAATGAGACTACTGAACTCTTCATATCAAGCTTCTAAAAACTTTATATTTATGTTTATTCCAAGAACTGTCTCCATTCGCATGCATAATCATTTGTATATGAAGGTTCTCGAAATTAAATTATGAAGTACAAGAAAATGTAAAACAATAATATACGACCGAATTTAGCCCATTACTAGCTTTCACCAGTAAAACGTAGAAAAAAGCTACTAAATAATGACAGAGGGCACATACTGGATGTCATCATTACATGTGCAACACGTACAACAGGATTTAATGATGGAAATTAATTGTAGTTGGGTATTGCAAAGTCTTTGATGAGGAGATTGAAAAAAAAAACATTTCAGCAACATTCGAATTCAATAAATGTACTAAATACTGCTAATGGTAGATTCCATAATCTAGGATGGAACTTTCTGATACTTTGAGCCTACAGTTTTCAAGATGCAAGTGCATTGCACATCCCCAGATCTACATGCTTCCAATGGGCAAGAGAGACAAGTTAAGACAAAGAACAAACATGTCATCTAGTCATAACTTTAAATGATGAAATTTAGAACTAGGAACTTGTAATGATCCTAATTTTCATTGAGTAAATGTATATCAGATTACAAATTAAATTAGTAATTTTCAAATATTTATTTGGTTGTATTAATGTATAAATCTTTGATTACTAAAGATGTTTTATGCAAATAATAGCAGTAATTATGGTGATATGTAAGGATACAATTAGATGAGGGACGTTATTGAAAAATGGTTACAATTAGATATGACATTATAAGAGTGAATCAAACCCTAGTACCATACTGTTGTCGTAGCCTCTTGCATAGTTGCCTTTCAAAAGAAAAAAAAAGAAAAAAGAGTCAAAGTTACGACAACAGGATCAAGAACCAAAATTAAATAGTAGTTCATTGCTTTTTGTTGATTTTGCATAAAGGGTGCACAGAACTACTTTGTTTCTTTTTTTCACACCCTCAACAATGTAAGTTAGCCTTTTCATATTATTATCCCTGTTATCAATGATAACATTAGATATATATGTTGATATGATCTAATGTGTTAATCAAATGTGATGTAGAATAATTTGATAGGTTGAACAACAAGCCCGTCGCTCTCATCATAAATGCGTTTCGGGAGTCGCAGACCGACAACTGTTTAACTTCCACCTGTACTTAGCCAGCCAAGTTCGAGTGAAAGGGGGCAACTGTTATAGGTTGCAAAATAAGCAAGTGTTAATCTCTATTGGGAAGCCGACGCATGTCCCAGTCTGTGCTTAATCAGACTACTCCTGCAATTAACAACTCGAGCCATTCCTACGGCCGACTCCATAAGCTGACAACTTACGTAGTCGACTCAAGAGGCGCTACTTGTCCTATTCTCCAGGTCGAGCCCTTAAGACTCCACACTCAGCTTGCTATACCAGCCAACAACTTACGTAACCGACTAAAAAGGCAGTGTTTGCCGACCTCCAACAATACAATTGAAGAGACGGTAGTTTCCTCGAACCCCTCGCCGACAGTCGCCTACCTTAGCATTAACTACGCTGTCAGAGTCATCATTGCTCTAGCTTCCATAGTTTCCAACTGTCCATGACTCATCGGACTCAGTCAGTGCCAAGCAGCTACTGTCGCCCTACACTAATTGCTTGGATAACTCATCCTCACCTGCAACCGACACCTGTAAAGACACCTACCGAGTCAGCTGCCTACCTGGACTCGGTCATAGTTACCTTCATGCTCTTCCAATCTGCTATAAAAGGGAACTGCACTGCATGAGGTAACTTCTTCTATTAGGATTTAACTCCGAGCAATCCTTCACACTATTTCTCTTATATTTTCCTACTCAAGTTCGAACACGGACATGATCGTCGGAGGAACAACTAGAGAACCCAGCCGATCTACAAAGTCAGTCATCTGAAGTCATCTGAAGGAGTTTGAGGACCCTAACTCTACTTTAATCCTCAAAGAAACCCCCTATTTGATAACTAGTATCAATGAAGTCCATAATAGAAGTACAAAAACATACAAAGTTTTGCATAAATATTTTGATTGAAAAACGTAGCAGAAGGTTGATTAATTTAACCTATCCGTTATTGTTTCGAAATGAAAAGGCGTAGATGGATTTTGTGACCAAGCTTCCGAGAGCCGGAGAAGACGCTCATGTAGATATTGCGTTTGACAAAGATTTGAAGTTTTCTTTTAGATTTTTTGAGAATTTGATTTATGCTTTTAATTACTAAGGTTCGGTATGAAAGGAAAGTTAAAGTTTGAGAATACTAAATCTTTGAAGATGTTTAGAGGACTGGGATAGCGGAATATAAAATTAGTTAGCTCATGAATTCTTTAGATTTTATAATGTATTTCATTGATCAATATTGAAGAGGTGAACTATAGAACTTAGAATAAATGTTGATAATGAGCCTCTTTGGCTAGGAGGATAATTGATATTCTATTTATTTACTAATTAGTGAGATTTTTGGATCAAAAAGAGAGAACATTGGCATTGAGAGTTGTTGTCCATTGGATTTTTATGGAATACTCATTAAACTCAGGAAGCAAATTGTGAGAATGAATTAAGGAAAGATACCATGATTTATTTGAGCACTCAAGTACATTCAAGTTTTGTGGACAAAACTTCTTTTGAGGGGTGTAGTATGTAATATCCAAATTCTCAATTGTGACGTAACGAGGTTTACAAATTATTTTTATTGCCTATTTGAAGAAAGGAGCAGATGAATACTTAATTGTGCTTATCAAATTGCAATAATAGATTTAAACTAAATAGTGACAATAATCATAGTACATATATAATTATAGTTTAGTTGAGATTGCTTGAGAAAATTATCACATGATCTAATGAACAAGTCAAATATGTTCAAGTTTTGAGGATAAAACTTTTGTCTAGGAGGATAGTATGTAATAATCCTAATTTTCATTGAGTAAATGTACATTAGATTACAAATTATATTAGTAATTTTAAAATATTTATTTGGTTCTATTAATGTATAAATATTTATTTGGTTTTATGCAAATAATAGTAGTAATTATGGTGATATGTAAATATACAATTGGTTGGGGATGTTATTGAAAAATGGTTACAATTAGTTGAGGGACATTATTGAAAATTTTGACCTTATAAGAGTGAATCAAACACTAGTATCATACTGTTGCCGCAGCCTCTTGTATAGTTTCCTTTCAAAAGAAAAAAAGGAAAAAATCAAAGTTTCGGCAACAAGATCAAGAACCGGAATTAAATAGTATTTTATTGCTTTTTGTTGATTTCAGAGAAAGGGTGCACTGGAACTACTTTGTTTCTTTTTTTCACGCACTCAGCAATGTAAGTTAGCAATTTTATATTGTTATCCCTTATATCAATGATAACATTAGATATATGTGTTGATATGATCTAGTGTGTTAACCAAATGCGATGTAGAATAATTTGATAGGTTGAACAACAAGCTTAGAATCAGTTTGGATCTAAGTCTTTCTATTTGAGGTTTTGCCTATGGCTACAAAGCTATGTATTGCTTTGTCATATTCACCTTGCTTTGAGCTGAATAAAACTTCTATCAGTCCATTTGAAACCTCTGTACATATCGCTTCGTTTTCCTCCTCTCAGACATCTCATCTTTGAGCTGGTTCAAAATCAAACTCATGCATCCCCAAAGCAACACCTTGCTGCCATTTCTTTGCTTTTGTTTTCAATATCATATTTGATTAATTCCTTGTCTAGAAAGCATCTGGTTCTACTCTTCTTTAGGTTTTAACACTAATGAATAGGATTTCAAGTTTCCCAAAAGGAAATACTATGTCTTATGGAACTTTGTCTTAGCTATAGGATAATTAGATATTTCATTTGGATTAATACTCTAGTATGATCATGTATGGTACTATTTAATTATTTATCTTTAGTAGGCGATTAAATCTTAGGATATACAATAGTGTTGATGGTTCTTTGCATTTATTCTTTAGGAGTTTCGAGTGGCTCCAAGGAGGTATTTCTGTTGTCTTTCAGGTATGTGGTAAGTGGTAAATTTATGCATTGTGCATGGCATATTTTTCCTATAAAATGATAAGAAATATATTTGGATTCGTTTCCAATGAATAATATTCTTTTGTGGGACTTACTCGCATATTTTTTTGTTTATATTATATCTGATGCAAATGAATATTTGGTATAAACTATACTTATTTTCTTTGTTGTCAGTCATCTTTTTCACATAATAGTAGGTTGAGATACATACGTACTTGATTTTACTAGTGGTTGCCTTTGGCATTCCTTTATAAAAGATTTGGTTATACGAATTTTGTTCCTTGTTCTCAAAGCATATGCATCTCAAGTCAATATATCGGTATATGTCAGAGATAAGTTAGTCATCTAAACATGGCTCAATGTGCTTATAGGAGGTTTTCATTTTAGCAATGAGAGCCTAAATTTGGGTCTCATTGTCCCGAAACCACGGGCTTAATAATTGTGAGGTGTATCAAGTCAACAGAAGTATGAAGTGTTGACCGTATTGAGACATGAACTACTTATTCTTCATCTTATGAAATTTATATTTTAGAGATATTGGATCAAGTTTTTTGAGTTCATTGATTATTTTACTATTTTAATATTTTGCTTATCAAGTCAAAATATTATAGTTTTTTGCAAAATCAGTATTTAATGTATGAATTAATCCACTTATTGAGTTGTGAACTCATTATGTTGTTTTCATTTTTTTCAGAGACTAGGGATTATGTGGAGATGATGGTTCCTAAATTCTTAGAAAGGAGCAAGAAATAAAATTGCAGATTGCTAATTTCTTATAGGTGGAGGTTAATTAAGTCATTGATGTTTAGTTGTTATTGAAAGTTTTGTAATAATGAGATTTTTTCCCCTTTAGGTTGAGTTTTATTTCAAGTTAAGGAATTTTGTTTATCTTAATAAGTTGGAAATATTTTGACTTTTGGATTATAGAGAATATTGTCATTGGTTTTAGTTCAATAATGAGATTATTTTGATGGACTTTTGATGAATATAGATTTTTGGAGGCTATTTTCACAGGATTAGTACGGCTCCAATATTCATTCTATGTTCAAAAATTGGGATCATGACAAAACTACACTCCAAATCATAATCTTTTATGCTAGATAATCTTCGATGTATGCTCTCCATCTCTTAATGAAATTAAATCTATGGTTAAAGTTCTTCACTATATCCAAGGTTATCGATAGCGGATAGCATCGCATAGCGGTGAGGCGTTGCTAAGGCTGTTTAGAGCTATTACAGTAAATAACGGTAAAAAAAATGCAAAGTCAAATAGCGGTCTAATTTAGATATGTATAAATATTCAAAAAAAATTTAAAAAATTCTAGAAAATTTAAAAGTGCATGTTTGATGATTTAAAGAGATCCTAAATATGAAATAGGCATGTAATCATTACAGAATACCGAAGATGACTGGAGGAGAAGTCTAAGAGTCATTGTCTTCGAGAAGAGAAGCTGATCGATGAGAGGACTTCAGTAAGAGCAGCTCACGGTGAGAGGAAGTGTTGAGGGAGGTGTTGGAGACTACGGGAGGCGACGGGTATATGCCGAAAATCGCGGGAGGCGGTGGGATGCAGTGGTTGCGGGTCGGGGTTAATTTTTAAAATATAAACCTCAAACCATTTTTAAATAGCGGTCAAAAAGCGAATTTTGCCCGCAATCGCCCTCTATTTATCGTTATAGCACGCTATTGGTCGCTTTTGTGAGCGAAAAGTACATATTCCGTAATATGTCACAATTGTTGGGTGATAGCGTAACGAGAAGAGACCGGTAACAGTACTAGCACCGCTATTGCGGTGCTATTTACCGTTATTTATAACAGTGACTATATCTAATTTCAAACTCAAGGTTGAGCTTTCTCCACATGGAGGAGATTTGATGTATGACGACTTCCGCTTGAAAGCAAAAAAAGCAAAAGATTAAAATGTTTTATCAAATTTTGTATTCTTCAAATTGCGGTGCAATCATGAGCGTAAAACCCTATTTTATGATGTGGAACCATAATTGAGGAATAAATGTTTATTAAGGTGGGTGATGTAAAAAGCACTACCCATCATACATGGATTATACCCCATATAGATTATTACGAAAAATTACATTTTGGAATATTGATATTGATATTTTGGAGTATTCTGTGGTTTTTGACCTCATAAGTAGAATTGAAGGCCCTGCTTGAATGAGATGACCATAAGTATATTCAAGCGTAAAACCCCCTTTGGGGCATGCATTAAATAAAAGAATCCATATATTTCCAATTTATTTTTAAATTAATTTCACATTCTCATTCACGATGTTCTTACTTATAACCTCATATAAACTTGCAGACATTTTTTTTAGTAATCCTAAGTAGAGGTGTTACCATCAGTTTAAGATTCCAATCACATACTAAACTTTCATGATGCATACATAAGTTAATGTGATTATTCTAAAGTTCCACAAGTAGGTACTCAATTAGGACCACAATCATCAATCTAACAGGCAGTTAATCATAGTGATCCCAACTGCAAGTTGCAAAGGTTGGAAGGGACGTAATAATCCCTCCCAAGACTAGATTCCATAAGAATCAAAGGTTGAAAGGAACAGGAGGGAGAGACACCATCTTACTCCAAAAACCACTTTTGCTATCAAATATTTGGTCCCTGGCACATGAAATGGTATGAAAAGTGTTCTTTTATACATCAACTGCTGACATTAAGCCCAATTTGATCTGTTCACATCTTTTTTGTTACTTGAGAGCGCTTTTAAAAAAAAATTGTCTTCTAACTGTTTAATGGTCATAGTCACTGACAGCAGATTGATCCATTTATGTTTCGAGTAGATTTTTGAGGTAAAAGGAGAAATCTTTCCAGAATTATTTTGTTTTATGTTGGTTAGGTCTAATAATGTATCCATCAAATCCAACAGGCTAAGAAACTTAGCTATGTTCTTGCATAGAACAATGTTGGCCACAAGCCTGATGACAAGAATAAAGACTAAACTAAAGCCTAAGGCAATTAAAGGGTAAGGGAAAATGTAATATGTGGAATAAGGCATGGTATCTGCTGAATAAGATATGACTATAAAGAATAACACAGAACTCTATGAGGCGTCAGTTAAGATATTCATAAATTCTCTAGCTGTTGATAAATTATGAAAGGGAATTAGAAGCAAGCATCGTCAAGTTTAGATGGTGCTTTTAAGCCTGTTAAACCTTGACCATAACAATCTATGGTAATTCATTGCAATAAAAGAAATGTATGGATTGAATAGATGGTGGTTCCTTGGATTCATTTCAAACAAATTCTTCCAACAGAAGAAGAAAAAAAATGATCAGACAGCATGCATATAAAAAAACAATGTTACCATTTTTGGAAGTAAAGGAGAAATCTCACACAGGGCCTTCATCTCTTCTCTGGAAGCAAGTGCGTCAATGAAAAGAACATCTGCTCCAGCGTCAGCAAAGGCTCTTGATCTCCGTAAGGATTCCTCAAGGGATACAGCTTGACGGGAATCAGTTCGTGCTATGATAACAATATCAGAGCCACTCTCTTTGCGTGCATCAATAGCTGCTTTTATGCGCATCACAGCCTCCTCCCTTGAAACCACTTTCCTTCCATGAGTATGGCCACAGGCTTTTGGTGAAACCTTTAAGAAGAACAAACAATATAATTGATACAGGTTTCATGACATAAAGAGAAAATCATTATGTGAGTTATTGCCCAGTTATATTTTTTATTTCAAAAAGCAAGCTGGGTAGTTGACACTTGTATTTCCATATAATTTATTATGAGGTGATAACTGGCCACTTAAGATGTAGCTTCCGAGAAAACCTATGTTAAAGCTAAAATGTACTTCAACTTAATATAGAAGTTTTTGGTATTAAGAACACTGCTTCAAGTTTTTGGTATTAATAACTCTGCTTCAAGCATGTTTAGCTCCAATTGTTTTTTACCAAGAACGGATTATATTTGATGAACATTTGGTCATAAGTAGTCAGTTTCAAGAAAGTTTCAAATGCTGTGCTATGGAAAATGCAGATGGCTACATAATATATTTCGACCGCTAGCCTAACCCTAATTAGCTTGACAATACCTTCATGATTATCAAAAGAAAATGCCATTATGTGAAGGAAAAAAAAAATTCCTGAATCCCAAACAGACAACTAAAACTTTGAGCTACAGGAAAGACTTTGTTATGAAAACTCTAAAGAATGAACTTTTACCTGATCTTCTAGAATAATCCCTGCAAAACCAGCCTTAATAAAACCTTTCACAGTTCTTTTGACATTCAATTCATTCCCATATCCATTGTCTCCATCTCCAATCACAGGAATTGAGACGGCTTGTGTTATTTGATATCCTTGATCCACCATTTCTCCATAAGAAATAAGACCAACATCCGGTAACCCCAAACGAGCCGCCGAAACTGAGAACCCTGAAGATACAAGAATATTCTTTAACAAACATCCTAGTTAAGAGTTGAAAATTCTCCTTCACATGTATCAAATATCATTACAAGTTTCAACCATATAGCAGAATCAATATTTTAGCAAAATGCAAGTCGAACTAGTAGGCAAAAAAATGATTATCATACTATGTTACACAGACACAGGTGCGGATACGGGACAATGAAAAGTTTGTAAAAGGTAGGATACAGGGACCGGCTATATACATCCGTATTAAATTAACCAACTCAAACTTCAATTTCTTCAGTTTCAGAAGCCGGGTATATCAAAAAAATAACACTTATACCAGAACCAAGCACCTATAAGGTCCTTGCTCATTATTCACATGCATCAAAATAACTATTGTTAAGAAATATTATAGAGATCTATTAGATTAGGAATAATATATTAGGAATATGTAATTGAGAGATGCTCGAGATGTGATTTTATATCATACCTATTTTGTAACGTCCTCCTGACCTCTATTTAAGAGAGGCTAGAGTTAGATGAATAATAACTTGATCTTCTTGACCTTTTTCTATTTCTCTACATGGTATCAAAGCCAAGTTATTAAAACTAGAGAGACCTCATTCCTCCTCCACAACCTCTGGGCCACCGAGGGGATTTTGCTGCATTACATGCTTCCCCTTAGTAGCTTCGACACAGACCTCGACTACATCAACTCTCTCTTTCATCGGCAATGGAACTGTTCATCAGCAGCGGAGCTGTTCATTCTTGTAGTTCTATTCCCTCGAGAGCACTGTTTATCCACGGCGGTACTGTTCACCCTGAAGCACTGTTCATCCGACCCAAGTCTTGATCTTTTAAGCTAATTGTTTAGCCTAATCTAAAAGATGTTAAGCAAGCTAATCATTTGGGTTAATCTACTATATCCTCATAGGTCTAGAAGTTAAAGTACTATTCATTGGTACTGTTAGTTCACGGTTACTTATTCACCGCAGATGTTGGGCTACTGTTCATTCGCGGTGCTATTGACCACAAGTTACTATTTGTCTAGGTCGTCGATCACCTTCATGACTTTGAATCCTTGCCTTCTATGATTGATCTCACATAGATCTCGATGATTCGATCTCATCCTCATCATCGACGTTCGCTTCCTTGTCGATTTTTGCTCGAGCCCAAAGTCAACTCACATTTTGGATCATTTGTTTATCAGATCCTTAAAGAAGAATCATTTATTGTTGAATCCTTTAAAACAAGGACCATTTGTTGTTGGATTCTGAAAAGGATCATTTTTTGTTAGATTCTTTAAAGAAGGATCATTTGTTATTGGATCCAAAAGGAAGGATAATTTGTCGTTGGATTGTCCAAGGATCATTTGATCAGTGGAGTATGCGCCCTTTATTAGTAAACAAGCTGGACATATATATCATACACGCTCCAGCTTGAGGGGGGTGTCAAGGAATATTATAGAGATCTATTAGATTAGGAATAATATATTAGGAATATGTGATTGAGAGATATTCAAGATGTGATTGGATATGATTTTATATCATACCTATTTTGTAATGTCCGCCTAACCTCTATTTAAGAGAGGCTAGGATTAGATGAATAATAACTTGACCTTTTTCTATTTCTCTACAACTATCACACAGGAGCGCAAATTCATCAATATCAATCACCCAACAAACTTCAAAAAAAAAATTCCAATTTCAAAAACTGGTGTATGAGAAAAGCCCACTGAGACATAAAAGCAAACACCAACCGTTCATAAAAATAGCCGTTGGTTTTGAACTTTTCCAATCTCAGAAACTGCGTATATCACACTCGCGCCAGTGATACCCAGAATCAAACGACGAACAACCAGGAACGGGTGTGAATTGGAAAACAACAATTACCCAACTCATCAAACTCAAACATATTCGCAAATTCTAAAGACTGGGTACACGAACAAAAATCTCAGCGAGAAATAAAATCAAACAGCTACCGCTCGTGAAGCAGAACCTGAAGCCAGCCCTCTCCACGAGCTTGGCACTGAGCGCATCAAAGCAAGCGGGCCCCTGATGAGCTCCCGGAGACTCCAATATACTCCTCAGGGCCTTCGACGGTGATTCTCCTGCGGCGGTGCAAGCAAACGAGGGTCTGTAGCAATTTCTCTTATATTTTGGTGAAGGAAAGGAGAGAGGGAGGAGTAGCCGTTGGGTTCTGAAGTTTGAAATTTTGTGGGTTTGGCGGGAAGGAGTTGGAGAGGGGGAGGGAAGTGAAGGGGAGAGCGGGGAGTTTGTAGCGGAGGTAATAAGGAGAGAGGAGAATCCCATAGCTTTTCCGTTGCTTCTGGAAGAAGGTGAAGAAGAAAAAGTTTTTGTTTGGGAGGGGTGTGGGGAGCGATTCATGAGGTTTGGGTGGGCCAACATCATCTATTGTTAATTTACTAAAAGTTGTCATTGATTAATAGTTAGATTAATGCCGTCATAAATAGTTATATACATGAACATATTGCACGTGATTAAAAAAACATTATTTAGGGCTTTTGTCGTATTACAAACTCAAATATTCTCAACTTATACATTAGGGAAAATTGTGTCGAGGCCCCAAAAATATAAACTTTATGTGACGAGGCCCTTTGTATTCTACCCTATGTGGATAAGCCCCAAATACACACAGTATTTGTGATGAGGTCCCAAAGTATCAGATTTTAAAAAAAACCCAATGGAAGATACGAACTTGCCCCTTTGATGGGAATGAACTCGGTTACTGTGCCCATCCCTATTTATTCCTAATTTCTCCATCATTAATCGCATCTCTCTCTCTAACCCCTCTATCTCTCAACTTTTCCTTCTCTCTCACTTCCGCCATAGCTACTGAAAATGATCAGCCTCTGAGGAGGCGTGGAAGGCGAAGGCGAGGACGGTGGTCATGGAGTCGGAGATCGGGGATGTGATCAGGCCCGAGGGCTGGGCCGTCTGGGACATGGTCGACTTCCACCAGACCTGCTACTACACCGAGTACAACAACAGGGGGCCCAACGGCGACCCCAGGCCCAGGGCCGAGTGGGTCAAAAAGCACGAGCCCATCAACAAAGAGGCGCCCATCTTCCTGATCGAGAAATGGCTAGGGGATGTCACCTGGCCGAGGGACGTCGGGGCCAAGTTTATCGACGGCTTTGTCAAAAGCTAGTTAGTTTAATCAAATCGCTAGCTAGGTTGTTAATTAAAAGCTCGATTGGCTTGGACCTGTCGTGCATCAAGCACGTTGGGTTTTTATTTGTTATCTTGAATTTTTATTAATTGTTTTGTCATGGAAATTTTTTTAAAACATTTTATTTGTAATTGTTTTCGAAAATTATAAATGAAAAGTGAGGTGAATTCTTCTTCTCTTTTATCGTTGTTATTGCTATTTTATTATCAGTTCTTTCTATAATTTGTTGTGGATGTAGCCGAACCACTGACTGGGAATAAGATCGCAAGGCAACAACATCAAATAATAATAGAAAAGAACTATACGTGTTAGTTTTACTTCCAGCTAGTGCTATTTCTATATAAGTGTTAGTTCTAGTGGTATGTTAGTTCTAATTGAGCCCATGTTAGTTCTAACGGTTCTCGTGATAGTTCTAGCTGATGTCGTGTTAGTTCTACTTCTAGGTAGTGTTATTTCTAATATATGTATTAGTTCTAGTGGTATGTTAGTTCTAGTTGAGCCCATGTTAGTTCTAACGGTTTTCTCGTGTTAGTTCTATCTGATTTCATACTAGTTCTTAGTCCAGCTAGTGTTATTTCTAATATAAACGTTAGTTCTAGTGTTATGTTAGTTCTAGTTGAGTCCCTGTTAGTTCTAGCGGTTCTCATGTTAGTTTTATCTAATTCAATATTAGTTCTACTTCCAGCTAGTGTTATTTCTAATATAAGCGTTAGTTCTAGTGGTATGTTAGTTTTAGTGGTATGTTAGTTCTAGTTGAGTCCATGTTAGTTCTAGCGGTTCTCATGTTGGTTCTAGCTAATTTCATATTAGTTTTACTTCCAGTTAGTGTTATTTCTAATATAAACGTTAGTTCTAGTGGTATGTTAGTTCTAGTTGAGCCCCTGTTAGTTCTAGCGGTTCTCATGTTAGTTCTATCTAATTTAATGTTAGTTCTACTTCCAGCTAGTATTCTAACTTCCAGCTAGTGTTATTTCTAATATAAACATTAGTTCTAGTGGTATGTTAGTTCTAGTTGAGTCCATGTTAGTTCTAGCAGTTCTCGTGTTAGTTCTAACTGATTTCATATTAATTCTACTTCCAGCTAGTGTTATTTCTAATATAAGCGTTAGATCTAGTGGTGTGTTAGTTCTAGTTGAGCCCATGTTAGCCCTGTTAGTTCTAGGGGCTCTTGTGTTAGTTCTAGCTGATGTCATATTAGTTCTAACTTTCAACTAGTGTTATTTCTAATATAAGCATTAGTTCTAGTGGTATGTTAGTTCTAGTTGAGCTCCTGTTAGTTCTAATGGTTCTCGTGTTAGTTCTAGCTGATTTCATGTTAGTTTTAAATTGCAGCTAGTGTTATTTCTAATATAAATGTTAGTTCTAGTGGTATGTTAGTTCTAGTGGTTCTCGTATTAGTCCTATGTGAGTTAGAACCAATATAAAATGAGTTAGAACTAACAAAGAGGCCAACAAAACCAAGGCCCAAGGCCCAATCAAAGACATTTAAATATATATTGTAGGTGTATGGGTTTGAACTCCTAACCTCTTCTCCAAATTCCCAAGCTTTACCACTAGACCAAGTAGCCAAAGTATTAATGTTAGTTCTACTTAAAGTTAGTTTTAACATGAATTAGAACTAACATGAAATAAGTTAGAACTAAAATAAAATAAGTTAGATCTAGCATGAAATAAGTTAGAACTAACATGAGTTATTGCTCATGATAGAGTTTTAAAAGGGTGAGAAATTTTCCTCTATTTTTTCCATCAGATCGCATTAATAAGACGTGACTTTCCATGTTTTTGGGAGCCAGAAGCATCTGGGGAAGATAAGTGGAGGGGCAATTTCGAGTTTTTTTTCCAAAATACAATCTTTTTTTTGTACTACTGACGTGGAGGGGCCTTGAAACATTAAATGCTACTTTTTGGGCTAAATCACATGGGCTAAAATACAAGGGGCTGGGTCACATGGAGTTTTTGCTTTTGGGGTCTGGACACGTTTTTCCCTATACATTATTACTCCATCAGATATTCATATATCTAAATTAGACCTCCAAGCCAAACAGATCAAATATGATCATTAAGATTCTGAATCCGCTTTTTATCACCGGTACATAGGTATGAGTATAGGTACGGGTATGTGTTTATATAAAGAACTCATTTCTATATCCACAAAAATTGAATATAGATATATATGTATAAAATAAAAGAAAAAATATATAAGTACTAAACAGCTATGAAAAGTATAGATAAAATTGTAAAATACAGAGCGTGCATTAATATGTTATGCATATGAAATAAGATAAGTTTATCATCAATATTAACCTCAAGTCCATTAATCTAATGATCAAAACAATCACACCTATATCATCAGTATATATTCAGACATTTCAAATACGGGTACATTAGTCTTAGTATGTACTGATGTTCGTAAGGATATCTACATTCTACTAGACGCAGACGCATATACATTCACGTGTACACATAATTTCTTGCACTCTTGCTTCCAAGTCTCCTAAGTAGTTTTGAAAAACTTCTTCTCAGAAATTAGACTCTCATATTCCAATCAGCTCCTTCCTTATCCTATACCACAATAGGTCTCTCTGCTTTCAAATATGTATTTCATGAGGGTAAAACGGTAAACAACCATCCATGATTAGTCATTGACTTAATTAGGATTAGCACGTGGATAGAAGTTCTAATGGAGGGATTAATTTAAGGGGTTTTTATTTCTAGAGTCATTTGTTTACTCAACTTTATCTATAAACTCAACCATTATTACTTGTATGTTTAAACCCAATTCTCTTTTTGTATTTGTCTTTAAACCCAATTTTCAAAATACAGTAGGTAAAAGACTTGTATTTATACAGAATCATGGTAAAACCCCCCAAAATACTCTTTCATTAGCCCCATATAAACCAGTACTCTCTCTATCTCCTCATCTTCCCCTTTTCAACTCAGCCCTAAATTAAAAAACAAAAATCCCTGTTCATTCAAAAATCAAAAGCCCCAATTCCATCGTCCGCCGTTGTCGCTGTCACCCGCCGCCGTCGCCCTCATTTGTTGCCGTCGTCCTTCACTCGTTGCCGTCACCGTTGCCCTCGACCTCGACATCGCCCGTTGCCATCGTCCTCGACCTTGACCTCGACTGGGAACTTGGATTTTTCTCTTGTATTTTGGACTCCGTCGCCGTTGCCCGCTACTGTCCCAGTAGCTGTCGCCTTTCGCCATAGTAGTCGCCGTTGCCCTAGACCTCGACATCGCCCGTTGCCGTTGTCCTCGACCTCGACTGGGAACTTGGATTGTCGTCCATTGTTTATTTACAGCTGTAAATGCAAGTAAGACATCATTGTTTATTTGCAGCTTGATGTTTGTTATATTGTTGTGTGGTTCCAATCTTCAGTAATTAGGAGGTGGTGTTTATATAAATCAGGGATTTGATATCTTCAATTGATTTTCATCCATAAAACTGAATCCATGTTGTCTTTCAATCAACAGTTTGAGGTTATTGCTTGCTGTAGTAAGCTTAGTTTGTATCTAAATGAACAAATTTTTGTTTTAAACCCATTCCCATTTTTTTTTACCGGAATCGACCGACCCTCTTTTTATTTAGCGGAATCGACCCACTTCTCGGCCACGTCAGCAGCGTGGCCGAGAAGCGGGTCGATTTTTTTTTAATCTCATCACTAAATAGTCGGGGTTGCCAACCCCGACTATTTTTTCTACTGAAAAAATAGTCGGGGTTGCCAACCCCGACTATTTAGTGATGAGATTAAAAAAAAATCGACCCGCTTCTCGGCCACGCTGCTGACGTGGCCGAGAAGTGGGTCGATTCCGCTAAATAAAAAG